TCGCAGGAGCCTTTTTCTCCCGGCCATTAAAAAGGGAAACGCGCGGCTCCGTGGTGCTCATCGCATGTGTGAGGCTCTGCGGGGAAGCCTGGATTGTAGATGGGTTTCGTCCCTCCCCCAGCAACGCGCGAGTTCCTGTAATAGCCCATTTATTATTATCACTTCGAATTTATATCACGATCATGTCTTGAGGCCTCGGCAAAGATCAGGGCTGTGTTTCACTGCCCGGTTTCCAGGCGCTTCTGATTTGTGGAGCCTGTTCCAGAGCTGTAGGTCTTTTCCTGAGGGCTCTTACCCTTTTGGCTAGCTTCACACGGTGTCGTGGCTGTGAATATTGCCGGTTTGCTGGGTAGCAGCGCTGAGTTTAGGCCCTTTTGTTTAGGCAGCGCTGAATTTAGGCACTGTACAGCTCCGTGGCGAAAGCTCTCAGCTGAAGCAGCCTTGGGAAGAGAGGGCATCTTGTTTGGTGCAGCACAGCGGGTCGATCGGGGAGCTGGGAGTTCAGCAGCTGAAATATTGAGGGCTGTATTGATCCACAGGCTGCGGGGATCGTGGGCTGTGCTGGGGTACCGTGCGTCAGTGAAAAATGTGTTCCTTTGGCCCTTGGGGAACACAGACCGCCCGGAGACAGACAGACAGGACTGCACCCAGCCCTTCCCCGGTGCCAGATCATTTCCATAATCCTGTTTTGCACAAGGGCTGCTCTTCTGGCCAGGACGGTCGCGACGTTGTGCTGTACACCGGAGGCTGGTATTAGAAAATAACCACCTAAACACGGCAGGTACCGTGGGAGGCCGAAAGGAAGAGCCAGAGGGAGGAGAGGAGAGGAGAGACGTGGCTGGCTGAAAATGACCACTGAGGTTCAGGCAGCTCCTCTGGTCTTCCAGCAAGGGGAGGCTCCTCCTTTGGAGGCAAAGAGCTGGTTTTTGTCCCTACTGGAAAGAATATCGATGAGGCAGCCAGAGCTGGGTCGATTCCCCGAGCTGCCTTCTGGGGATGTGGCAGCTGCTCGATGACCTCATCTCGTCAAGGTTTCAGCAGCCTTGCTCCCCTCCTCCTCCCGCCGCCCTCCTCCAGCCCCGTCCTTTGGAAAAGGTGAAGGATGGAGTGTGCAGGAGGCTAAAATCCTTCTATCGATCCGTAGTCTGGAGAGCAATTAACGCAAGCCTTCCAGTGCCGCTCCGTGACCCGAGCCCTCTCCGGTGGGGGGGAGTGGGGTGGGGGGGTGTGGGGTGCGTGCCCAGGGAGGAGGGGGAGAGGGGTTAGAGGGTGGTAGCAAAACTGATTAAACCCATAGGGGGGCTGACTTCCAAGTGGGCTTGCTTTGTGCCCT